CGCGACCCAATAACATCAACAATAGTGGCTGGTAGCCACGAGTGACCACTGGCATAATTCTTAGCAAACACATTTTCGCCCTTTTCGTATGTTCGTACCTTGGGGACATCGATTTGCTGTGTGGGCTTCAAGTCATTTAGATCCGGATGCAACCGGTCAAACAAGGTTGTCAAGCGACGGCCCATCAGCATTTCGGCAGGACTTCGGCCAGTTGCCGAACACGGGGTTACATGCTGTCTAAGCAGAAAAGATGCTAGCTTCACCCCCCAGTCCCCGTAAACTAGCTTGGCTAGTTCTTCTTTGGTCGTTCTGACCATTCGTTCCGCCTGGCCGTTTGAAGCCGGGTGGAACGGGGCGGATGTTATCTGCCGGATTCTGTTATCCGACAGGAACCTTTGGAACTCTTCAGAGGTGAATTGAGTTCCATTGTCACTCACCAACACGTCCGGTAGCCCGTAGGTGGCAAATAGGTGCCGGAGTACGTTGATGACAGCCCCTGACGTGGTGGAGTGCATGTGCGCAACCTCCAACCACTTCGTATACGCATCTACAATAACGAGGAACATTTGTCCCTGTACTGGCCCCACGAAATCGAGGTGGAGCCTCGACCAGGGTTTTCCCGCCGACTCCCATCCTCGTCGCCAATTGTTAAGTCTGGTGCTTAACAAATAGTCAGAGAGTGATTTCAGCAAAACTCAGGTTTATTTCAGCTCGACGATCACTTCTCTAACACGGTACAACTTCTGATAGCCCGAACAGCTTTTCCATTGCAGCTGCTCGGTATTTAAACATTCCGGGCTAATGTAGCCACTCCTACTATACAGTTATCAACCTATCAGGTTGAACGCATAAGGGACCGATCAGAGTCTTTCCCGCTTATATACATTTGAACCTGATTGGTCACATTAGTCTTGGACTTCAATCCCTGTTCAAGACGAAGCTTAACATTGCTTCCTTATGAGATGTTTCACATTACATCTTAACGTATTCATGGCAGCTTCTGAATACATTACAATTAGCAGGAAATTACCCAAGCCTGTCTCTGTGTGGAAAACATCCTTATGACTCAGTAGGTTCTCGTTAGGGTTACCAGTAGGCTTGCTAGTTCCAGGTTGGGAAATACCTGGAGGTTTTGGGGGTGGAGAGTGGGGTTTGGGGCATAATGCCACAGAGTCCAACTTCCAAAGCAGCCATTTTCTCCAGGTGAACTGATCTCTGTTGCCTGGAGATCAGTTGTAATAGTGGGAGCTCTTCAGCCACCACCTGGAGGTTGACAACCCTAATTACCAAGTGTCCCAGCTCAGCAAGAGGTGTCCCACCCCCTGCCACATGGCTGTGGTTAAACCACAGAGTTTTGGGTGAATGCTAAAGCATCACCCCAGTGTGATGACATCATGTCTGAGGCCTGCTGGAAGTGATATTGTGCCAGGGAAACTGATGAGCCCCCCCCACACACACACACAGACCATAAGTCCTTGCCTCCTCCATCTTCTGCCAGTTGCCATGCCTGAAAATTCCACCCCTAGTCCACAAAAGTTTATTCCATAATAAACGCGTTAATTGTTACAGTGCCACATTCCTTCATTCTTTTTTAATACTTTCAGGTACAACATGGATTCAGGAGATTGTAGACATGATCCAACAGGATGGAGACACTAAGAAATGTAAACGTGCTGCCGTTTATGAACGTATCCCTTTTATCGAATGGGTTGTGCATGAAAGTTTACCCTCAGGTAACCAACACACAAACAGATGCAAAAATAATTCTGAAGTTAGCAGATACAGTATTGCTAAGAAATTTTAAAAGCCTCTCATATAATGAAACTATTCCTTGAGACCCAATTTGGTGCAGTGGCTAAGTGCGTGGACTCTAATCTGGGAGAACCAGGTTTGGTTCCTCACTCCTCCACTCAAAGCTGCTGGATGACCTTGGGCAAGCCATAGGTCTGTCAGAGCTGTTCTTGAAAATAGCCGTTTCTGTCAGAGCTCTCTCAGCCCCACCTACCTCACAGGGTGTCTGTTGTGGGGAGGAGATGGGAAAGGCGTTTGTAAGCTGCTCTGAGACTCCAAGTGAACGGTGGGGTATAAATCCAATCTCTTCTTCTTCTTGATAAAATAACAAGTAAAGCAAGTCTCCTTTTCATATACAGACAGGGATCACATCCGCCCAGGGCCGGCCCTAGGTGAGGCTGCGCCCTAGGTGAGGCTGCAGATGCCAACCTCCTGGTGGGGCCTGGAGACCGCCCCACTGGGAACCCAGCAGCAGGGGGGCCGAGCGCTCGGTCGGCAGCAGTGGCGGCAGCTCCAGCGGCAGGTAAGGAGCACTGCCAACAGGGATTAAAGGGCCGCGTGGTCCCAGGGCGCGCTGAGGTGGAGGGCTGGCTGGCTGAGGCGCTGGCAGAAAGAAAGCGCCGCGGCCTCAAGTTTGCAACCCGGCCCTTTCCCCCCTCTTGGCAGCACTCCTTCCCTGCCGCTGGAGCTGCCACCGCCGTTGCCACCCGAGTGTCCATGGCAGGAGGAGGTAGGTGGACGAGTGGGTAAAGGGCCGTGCGGTCCCAGGATGGAGGGCTGGCTGGCTGGCTCAGGCGCCAGCAGCAGGGTGCGCTTACCTCCTGCCTGGCGGCGCCTGCACAAGCTCCAGCGGACTTGGCTCCCCTGGCAGGCAGCGGCAAGTACGGCCCCGGCACGGGCTCCCCTCTTCATGCGCCCGCTCTGCCAGCACCTCTCCCCGCCAGCCATGGGTCGCTGGAGAGGGTCTGGGCAGGCGGGAAGGACGTGGAAAAACACGGAGGGGAGCCTTGGGGATCGGCGCTGGCTTTTGGCAGGGGGGCGAACTTCGGCGCCCCCATCCAGGGCCCACCACCCCATCCAGGGCCTCCCGCTTTGGTGAGTGCCTAGTTGGCCTAGTGGGAGAGTTGGCCGTGCATCCGCCCAAAATGTGCATACATAAATATACACATAGCAGTATATATATCTTCATGTCACTGGATAATGGATAGACCCAGTTGAGATCAGTATATGATTGAAAAATCTATTTTTAAAAGATTATTTGAAAATAAAGACCTGAAATTTGCAGAGAAAACATTGTCCATGGCTATTTCCTGAAGTAACGCATTTTCTTCTGAAAGAGCATTGTCTTTGAAAGTTAAGAGAAACAAATGAAAAAGTCATCCTATATCACCCCCAACTCCTGAGAGCAGAGCATCATTTTGCCTCCCCCCCAAAAAAATCTAGTTTTTAATTTTGAACATTTTCTATCATCGTAACAGAACACAAATTTTCTGTAAATAAACTACTTGGCAAATTGTCCTGAGAGAGGAAGAAGTGATTAGTCACAACTTAATCAGTAGCCAGAATTAACTTTGATGTTCCAGGCAGAATTCCCAGACTAGATGAAGATATGAGACAGGATTTATAACTGTTCTTTAAACTAAGCTCAAAGGACACTGAAACATGTGACTTTTCCCGTAGGTAGCAGAATATCAACACTGTTAATGTATCTTGGAAAGTCAGGTTCATGAGCATATAAAATAGTATTAAAGAAGTTAAAAGAACACTGGGGAATAACAGTGAGTTTTTCCACAGGCCTGGAACAAGCTGAAAAAATACCCTCCCCAAGGACACTGAAAACACATCTTCCTGTACAGCTGGTACCCCCATCCTTTTGGGAGCAAAACTGTAAGGTAATGTAGCGGACAGAGGCTTGGATTTATTTAACTGGAATGGAGGTAAAACCAAATACAACATTACCAGATTTCTGAAATGTAATGACCCTCTGTAGACATTACATTCACACAAACCGGGATCCTGCCAAGCATGTATCTAGAGTATGATGCTCCAGATATACATTATGAATCATGAATCATGTGAACTGAGCAACATGTGAATTTTCTATGTGTATAGTGCCTCCATACATGTGAACCAGAACCTTAGTACACCCATGGAAAATCTGTGTTGACCAATTCATGATACAGTGTTTGTGCATAAAGGGTGCATAGTGGTAACCACACACTCTTGATAAGCACTGTCAGTTGGCTTCCATTTTGCATGAATGTCACATCTGTAGAAGGCTATCCTCTTAGATGAAGTTTTAAAAGTCCACTGATCATCTTCCACCACTTTCAGCAAAAGAGCCAAGAAAACTCATTCAGGCCCAGACTTAGATGCTTAGAACTAGTTAACAATCTTCTTCTTGCCTAGTTAATTATGGTCTACTAAACGTTTATGTGTAATAAATAATTTTGGAATCCACTTCTACGCCCAAATCCAGATCATCTACGTGGCAAGAAATGCTAAAGACAGTGCAGTATCTTACTACCACTTCCACAGAATGAATCAAATTATGCCTGAGCCAGGAACGTGGGAGGAGTTTTTGGAGAAATACAAAGCTGGAAAAGGTGAACAGAATGTCCTGGCCCATGTTGTTTATTTTTTTAAGTAAAAACTTGTAATCTATCTAATTTAAATTCCAGGCATCAACTGTTGTTCTGATTACAGAAATAAAGTCTGTTCTGAGCATCACACAGCCACACACAGATACTCTCTTTGACAATTGTCTTGAGGCAATTGCCTTGCAAGATCGGTCCTGTGGTCCATTGCTCATACAAATATAAGAAGAGCCTTGCAAGATCGGTCCTGTGGTCCATTTAGTCACACAGTGGCCAGCCAGTTGCCCTGAATGATTAGAAACAGGCCTTCCTATATGTTGACTGTTAGCACTTGTTTCAGAGTTTTCCTCTCAGCGTGAAGGTTCCCTCTAGTTACCATAGCTAGTAGCCACTGAGGGACCTATGCTCCCTGAATCTGACTAATCCTCTTGATGACATTTATGCTAATGGCCATCCCTAGGTTCACTGGTAGTGAATTCCACCATTTAATTACTCATTTAGTACAGAAGTACTTCCTTTTTCTCCATCCTATTGCCCAAGAATTTAATTGGGTACCCCTAAGTTCTAGTATTATAGGACAGAGCGGAAAAGTAATGTACTTTCTCCAACCCTTCTATAATTTTATAGACCTTTGTAATATTCCCTCTTTCTAAACTGAAAAGCCCTCAGATTCTGTAGCCTTTCCTCATAGGAAAAGTATTATAAATCCTCTGATCATCTTCGTTGTCCTCGTCTGCATTTTCTCTAGGTCTGTGATATCGTTTTGTGTTGTTGTTGTTTTTTAGATACAGTGATCGGAACTGTACACAGTGTTCTAAATAAGTCTGAACTATCTAGATCTATACAGGGGCATTACAATATTGACCATCTTATTTTCTGTTGTTGTTCAGTCGCACAGTCGAATCCGACTCTTCCCAACCCCATGGACCACATCACGTCAGGCCTGCCTGTCTTCCATCGTGCTCCGGAGTTTGCTTAATTTCATGTTTGTTGCCTCGATAACACTGTCCAGCCATCTCATCCTTTGCCGTCCCTCTTCTTTGACCTTCAGTCTTTTCTAGCATCAGGGTCTTCTCCAGTGAGTGCTCCCTTCTCATTTGGTGGCCAAAGTATTTGAGCTTTGGCTTCAGTATCTGGCCTTCCAGGGGACAATCAGGGTTGATTTCTTTTAGGATTGACTGATTTGATATCCTTGCAGTCCAAGGGACTCTCAAGAGTCTTCTCCAGCACCATAATTCAAAAGAATCTATTCTTCGGCGCTCGGCCTTCCTTATAGTCCAACTCTTGCAGCCATACAGTACTACTGGGAATACCGTTGCTTTGACCATATGGACTTTTGTTGGCAGGGTGATATCGCTACTTTTTATTATGCTGTTTTATTTTCTATATCCCTCCTAAGAATTGCCAGCACAGTTTATCTTTTTCACAACTATCACACAGTAGAATTACGAACCTCCAAATGGTGCCTGGAGATCTCCTGGAGTTATAACTTATATCAAGACTACAGAGCTAAATTCTCCTGGAGGAACTGGAAGCCTTGGAAGGGGGACTCTATTGCATTATATCCCTGCTGAGTTGTTTCCCTTCCCCAAACTCTACCCTCCTCAAGCTCTACCCCCAAATCTCCAGGAATTCCCCAAACTGGAACTGGTAATATAGGCAGTTCCTACAGTAGGATAATACCGTTCATCTTGCTTAAAGGCACAGCCTATTTCTTGGATCTTGGGATGGAAAGGAATTGCTTTGCTGTATCTCCTTTGCCCGTAAAGAGGCTGAACAAAACCAGGGAAGGGACAGTAAGTCCTATTTTCCAGCCTCTGAGTTACAGAAAAAGACTCTTTTATGAGCCAATAAGGAGGCTGCTTTGGAGCACCTGACTTTGGACTACAGTTCCCAGCATGCATAGGGACTTAAAGATACACAACTATTTACTGACTGCTATTATGTACAGTTTACTAAACTCTGCTAGGGGCAGCACAGTGAATCATTCGTATGACATGGAATGGCTTCATTATAAAAGTACAATAATTCCTGGGGGCCAAAGCTCTAGTGGCCTACCAAAATCCAGATTTTTAAAATGGAAGAATGCATCTCTTTCCCAGACAGATCTTCCCTCAGGTCTGTACAGCCTAGCTCACGATTTTAAGCAGAAACTATGAGGTACTTTTCTCTTACACTGCAACAATGGGGTGGAGGAAAGCATCTCTCTCAGGGCCAGGGTGCAGAGTTGTATTTTTTAATAGACAGAAGTATGGATTAAAGGTATGTATGAGGAAAGGAATCTGGGATGGATAAAGCAGGACACAGACCATTTAGACTAGAGAGTCTCTTGTTTATCTTTCTTTCTAGGATTGATGTGTTCCTTGTTCCCTTACTTTGTTATACTCTTAACTCTGAGACAACTACCTTTCTCTTTTAAAAAAGTGCCTAGTTGAATTATCAATAACTCTGACAAAAGTAATTCTGATTCCTGGCAGTAAACTTAATCATCTGGGCTCATGCATCTGTTCCAGTTCCTGAAAAACTGACCTGAAATAATTATAGCAGACTAACTCATTCTAGATATTTTTTAAAAAATTCCAACATTTGTCTCTCTTACAAATCATGGTCCTTACAACAACTGTTTAGGTAAATGCTCATGGACTAGACATTTCTTAGAAATGCAGTTTTTAGCAATAAACTCCTTCATATGAAGATTTTGTTGAGCTGGATGTTGAGCAGACTTTTGTTTTTCAGTGCTCTGGGGCTCCTGGTATGATCACGTAAAAGGATGGTGGAAGGCAAAAGATAATCACCGTATTCTCTACCTCTTCTATGAAGATATCAAGGAGGTGAGCCTTTCAAGCTTCCGTCAAACCATATCCCACTGAACTCCCTGTGACACAACTGGCTTACATTGAGACACATCATTTAAACTAACTAGTGGGTTCTTAACATCCATATGCTTAGCGTTCTGCTATTGTGAAGTGACCTACCTAGATGATTCTCAATAGGAATATTTTGTTAGCGGCAAATTGAATGTTAACTTAGTAGGTTTCCCAGTAACAGCATAAGGAGGATATAAGGGCTGCCTTGCTGTATCTGTGGTCAGCCAGATATATCTGAGTACTCATAATAATGGAATGAAGATGATTTTTTTATTTATGCTCAGCACCTGCCATTCAGAAATATGCTTCCCCTTTACATGGAGGTTCCACTTAGCTGTCGTTAGGAATGGGCATGAATTGGGAAAATGTGGTTCAGTTTGTGGTTTGTGGCATGCACCATTCGTGAACCACAGACCATCACAAACTTTTTGACACGTTGGTTTGTGGTGCAGTAAAACCCCCCCCCCACCCCAGGCGTTCGAGTCACCAAACTCACAAGGGATCTCCGGCTGATTATCCTCTACCTGCCTTCCAAGTTTGTTGAGGACTGGAGTTACGCCCTCTCAAAGAAGATGACCCCATCCTCCATTGTTTCCAATGGAGAGGAAAAAAGCAAAAAAAGAAGAAGAAGAAGCAAGGGCAATAGAAGCCAGCAGAACAAAATCAAAGTCCTTGAGAATCTCTGCAGTAGAAACTTAAGGGGGGGCATATTTGCAAGCCCAGCAGAACCAGTGCAATGTGCCCAGCAGAACTAGTGCCACTGTGGCACTGCAAACCCAACAGAACTAAGGTCAAGCCAGGAAATTGCTTTTGGGGGAAATGTCAGGCACAGGTTCAAAAATGTATAGAATGGTATATGTTGGTGCCAGAGGAAAGAGTAGCAGCTTGCGGAAGGAAGAAGAGGCCCTCTCCCTCTCAGCAGAGGGAGCTGTGGAGGGGGAGCAGGAGGCCCCTTGAAGAAAGGCTCCTCACACTCATGCAGCATCAAGTCAGCCCATCTGCTGTGCGAGAGGCAGGAGGAGGGGGATGAGGAACTCCACCTACACCATGATTGTGCATTTCGTGAAGCAGAAGAGTGCCATGTGGGATGTCATCTTCTCCATACCTTCCTGTATGGGGAAGAGAAGCTCAGCATCACTCCAATGACTGGCTGACCTTCTCCCAAATGGTGCGTGTCTTCAGGCCCTTCCAGAACACCACTGATGTGCCAGCCTGGGGCAAATCATCTCCCTGATTCTAGGGCTGGACTGGGCTCTGGCCTCCACACTGGAGCCCACTGTTCTCCCATGGGTCAGGACCTTGGCAGAGAGGTTGCAGGCCGGAATCACCATCAGATTGCATCTTCTCTGCGATAAAGGCCTGTATAGACTGTGACCCCAGGATAAAAGGTAGCATTGCTCTCCTGAATGCAGAGCTCTTGCAATGGAAGCGTGAGCTCTGCAAAGACTACAGGCCAACAGATGTGGCCAGAGGGAACAGCAGGTAGAAGAGACTAGGGAGGAAGAGGAGGAGCCGCAATCCAGCACCTCTGCCTCAAAGAGCCCAAATAGGGTGAAGGCTCCCTACTGGTTGTCAGTAGTGAACCAGGAAGTCAGCAGTGGTGGGGATGCCAGGCGTGCAATGGTGGAGAATTTAGGTGATGGTGAAGGAGTACCTTGCCAAGTCTGCTGAAATGCAGTGCCGATGCTGATCCCCTGGAGGACTGGTCATGCAAGGCTGTCATCTGGCCCAACCTCTCTTGCATGACCATGAGCCCTGAGTCCACCTAACACCCAAACCCCAGCAGGGATGAGGGGTTCACAATCAGGAGGATATAAAATGTGGGTCCTCAGCCGAGGCACTCAGCATGAGCCAGAGAGACAGGTAGCTCAGAGCCCTGAGTAGCATGAGCAGAGAGACAGGTAGCTTAGAGCCCTGAGTCCATCTAACACCCAAACCCCAGGAGGGAGAGAAGTTCACAATCCGGAGGGTAAAAGACAGGGGTCCTCACTCAGCCAAGGCACCCAGAACCTAAGCCCCACCACTCAGCATGAGCAGAAAGACAGGGTGGCTCAGAGCCCTGAGCCCACCTAACACCCAAACCCCAGCAGGAAAGAGGAGTTCACAATCAGGAGGGAATAAATGAATGTGCTCTGTTAGTCAGCTTTTCCCTGCTTCTCTGTGTAACTGCAATGCGAAGAGCAGACTGACAGAAAGGTGTGGAGGTGAGCTGAGCGTATATATAGCTTTCTGATCCCGTAGCGCAGAATGTGAACTCTGTTATCAGCAGCCAGCAGTGCTGTTAATCTTTGGAGGACTCCTACTGATGTTTCCAAGTCTGGAGAATTCTGCCCCCCCCCCCGGTTGCCTTGGAGTTTTGTAAACAGTTTGATTGAGCGGAGACAGTGTCTGGAAATATATTGATTCACAAACAGCACCAAAGTTCGTGGAATATTGGTGCTAGGGTTGCCAGCCTCCAGGTGGGGGAAGCAACCCGAGCTGCAGTGTTAGGAGAGTCTGGTAACAAATAAATATACACTGCAAAAACCTTTTAACAAGCTAATGTGTTCTATTTATGTTCATCATTTAGTAAAGTGCATAGTGTATCATTTCATCCTAGTCATGTATAAATATTCATTACATTCAGTAAGCAATAACATTCAGTACATACAGATTGCTAACTACCAGACAATTTTGCATCAGTATTTTAAACGTCAATCCCCAACGGGAGTTTCTAGAATTATAAACCCAGTTCTCCTTGCATGAAGTCTTCCAAAAAGGGGGACAGCCTTCTTAATACTTGTATGGATGCTTTTTGCCGGTCCTACAAAAGACACATTGTGCAGCTAACATTCATGGACTGCTTTGAGAATGACAGGAGAAGCGGGTTTATAATTCTAGAAACTCCCGTTGGGGCTTGACTTTTAAAACACTGATGCAAAATTGTCTGGTAGTTAGCAATCTGTATGTACTGAATGTTATTGCTTATTGAATGTAATGAGTATTTATACCTGACTAGGATGAAATAATGATACACTATGCACTTTACTAAATGATGACCATAAATAGAACACATTAGTTTGTTAAAAGGTTTTTGAAGTGTATATTTATTTGTTAATAGAGCCTCCTGGTGGGGCCTGGGGATCTCCCGTTTTTACAACTGATCCCCAGCTGACAGAGATCAGCTCCCCTGGAGAAAATGGCTGCTTTGAAGGGTGGACTCTATGGCATTGTACCATGCTGACGTCCCTCCCCTCCCCCAACCCCACCCTCTCCTGGATCCACCCCCAAAGTCTCCAGGTATTTTCCAACCCAGACCTGGCAACCCTAGTTGATACTGGTCAGCCTTCCATAAGCATTGCTTTGCGAACCACGAACCAGCCAAAATTTGTGATGAACTTTGAAAGCCAGTCCATGCCCACCCCTAGCTGTCCTAGTTCAAAAGCACTACTAATGTCCTCTGTGGATCTGTCAGATTGCCAGGTCCCCCTTGGACACTGGCTGGAGATTGGGGGGGGGGGTTAGGGCTGCCAGATCCAGGTTGGCAAATTCCTGGAGATTTGGGGGTGGAGCCTGGGAAGAACAGGAGTGCAATGCCATCGAGTCTACCCTCCAAAGCATCCATGTTCTCCAGGAGAACCGATCTCTATAGGTTGGAGATTAGTTCCAATTCCAGGGGATCCCCACATTCCACTTGGAAGCTGGCATCCCTAGGAATTTGTTTAATCCTTTCAGTGCCATATTAGCTAGCAGCCATCATGTCTTCTTATAGTGAATTACATGCCATCCTGAGCCTGCTTCGGCAGGGAGGGCGGGATATAAGTCGAATAAATAAATAAATATTTTTCACTGTGAACAATTAGTGATTTTTTGTCTGTCTCCCATCAGCTTCACAGGATGACTGAGAGTTTTAGTATTATGTGACAGAGAGAAGACTTCCACTTCTCCATTTGTAAGCAGAAGTAGTAATATTTGAGTTGTTTAGATAGCTTTTCCTCCATTCAGTTAATGTTTTTTCCTTCTCTCCCTAACTCTGTTAGTTGGCTGTTTTCACTTTCTCTATAGAATCCCAGGCGTGAAATCCAGAAGGTGATGAAATTCCTGGAAAAGGACCTGGAAAAGGAAGTTCTAGATAAGATCATCCAGAATACACAATTTGAGAACATGAAAGATAATCCCATGGCAAACTACACCACAAAGCCTCCAGAGCTAATGAACCATAAAATCTCCCCATTCATGAGAAAAGGTGCTACACTGGTTGTCTTTCCTTCCGTCCGTCCATCCGTAGTAAACTTTATTCTCTTTAAAAATATAGTTTCTGGCAAATAGAACACTCATTATCCAAGTTAGTAGAATAGGGGAAATGAATTTTATTTCCTGAACTTTTGCAGATAGTAACTGCTTCTGTTTCTTGCTGCTTTAGGAGCTGTTGGAGACTGGAAGAACCATTTTACTGTAGCACAAAATGAGAGATTTGATGAAGACTATGAGCAGAAGATGGAAGGAATTTCTCTGACTTTCCGCATGGAGCTTTAAGAAGGGACATATTCTCCATTACACCACTACCCCTTCCCATTATTACAGCTGCAGGGTTTCCATCTTCAGGCTGGGACATTCCTAGAGATTTTTGGGGTGGAGCCCAGATTGAATGGGGAGGAAAGGGTCCTAAACATGGTATAATCTATAGACTCCAGCCTCCGAAGCAGCCATTTGCTCCAGGGGAACTAATCTCTGTCATCTGGAGATAAATTGTAATAACAGGAAGCAGCAAAAACCCCTGGATTATTGTGATGCAACACCCTTTTGCCAAGTGGAGTCATCGTGCTGGCAGGGGGCTTGGGGGAGTATTCCAGGAATGAGTGGGGATGTTGTCGATGCGCTGACATCACCAAGAAGTGACATCATTGGGTCAGCACCGTTGGGGGCAATGCTCTGTTTTGGGGCAAAATTCTATGGTAAAATCAGCATCAAACCATAGAGATTTGCCCAAAAACCAGAGCATCACCCCCCAACATTATGGATGTCACTTCCGTGTGAAGTCAGCACTTTGGGGATGTTGCACAGTGATGTCACTGGTTGGGGGTGGGAAGGAGTGCACAAAAGCAGGGACTCCTCCGTTCACACCAGGGGAATGGTAAGCCTAGCTTGATTTGAATGCTTACTCAGAAGTAAGTCCCACTGAGTTCAAAATGTCTTGTTGATTCCGAGTGTGGATGGGATTTTAGCCAGAGTGACCCTTTCTCTCCACATTCTTTTCCCCATTAAATATCCCCATCCCATTTTTTCCTTACTTCACTTTTGCCCTTCTTTTCCTTAGCCTAATGACTCCACTTTCTGCTTTTCCAAAAAACAGTGCTTAATTTGAGCAAGACTTTCCAACACACAGTTCCATAATGTCTTTTGTGCTAGTGCTTAGCTCTGATAGACTAGATAATGGAAATACAAACTTGAGGCCTAGCATGTCTCTAGTCAGCACAGCCAAGAAAGAAGACCAGCCAAACACCAAAATACACCTTTGCACTCCTTTGCATGATGATCATTTGTCTGATTCCTTCACAACCCTAAACCCTTGCTTTTATTTATTTTTAAAATGTACTTCTGACAAGAATGCTCCAGTATAGGACTATAAAACAGCATAATCAAATCAAATAAATAAATCGAGATTGCACGTATTCATTGTGTATGTATGGATCCGAGACGGGGATGTACTAAAAGGAAGGACAGGATTGCCCATTGGAAACAATGGGAGAGACTTGAAGGCCTATTGGAAATAATGGGAGCCAGGAAT